AAGGGAAAGGAAAAAATATGAGAAAAGGGAAAAAAAATGGAAACAAGGTCTTTGCAAATAGGGAAGGGTGGAGGGGGTGAAGAGAGAGCAAGGGAAGGGGAAAAAAAATAAGAACCAAGAGACTCATGTACTGGTACAAGATCCCAATGATGAATGTAACTGTATTGTATACCGAAAATGTACCAATAAACTTAATGGGGGAAAAAAAAGAATAGAGTGGTGGTTACCAGACTGGGAGAGATGTGTGGAAGTGGGATTAGAGAGAAAATAAAGTATAAAGATTTATCTCTATTTGTAGGATCCCTATGAGTGACAATAAGTAATGAATGTTTCATAGCAGCAATTAGAAAGGGTTTCAAGCTTTCCCAATACAAATACATGATAAATTTCTGAGGTAAATTTTATGTCAATTATCACAAACTCATCATTACATTTTGTGTATATATGACATAAATTGTTCCATAACATTGTACAAACACTGTGCCAATTACAAATGTATATGTACATGATTTTCCTAAACACTGCATGAGGTAATGGTGATTAGTTTTAATTGTTTATCTTGTTACCTCAAGAGAATGAGTAGTAGATTATCTCTTGGGTTCATGTCGCCAAGGTTGTAAATATAGAAGATGAAAGAAGGTATCATTCCCAACCAAGCAAGATCAAAACTACAATTGGGAGGTTTGTTTAAAGATGCAAAAGTAAGAAGGATGTTGCTTTCACTCAAGAAAGCAACTTGGGAGTACAGATGCTTCTTCTTTTAAAATTAGAATGTTATTGAGTAATACAAGGAAGCTTGCATGTCAGTCTTTCAGAAATTTAGTGATTTCTGACCGTCAAAATTTTGTTAAATAACTTTCTCCTGTGTCTTATCTTCTTGTTGCATTCTAGCATATCTGTGGGACTTTTACAATGGCATTGGGCTCTTTCTTACAGACTTAAAGTCTCTAGCTGGCTCACTGATTGACAATGTGGTCATTATTAAAGGAAACGTGAGTATCTACACTTGGAAAAAAGTATCAGAATCCAATATTGGAAAGAATAGGGTCTAAACACAAAAGTGTGATTGTTCTACATTTGTATGTCATTGAAAACCCAATGGTTTTCTGGCTATTTGGTTACCTCTAAAATAAGGAAATAAACTATATAAAATGTTTTGATCTATTCTGATTTTATAATTCTTTGGGCAAGATGGAAAAACTCATAATTGAACCTCCTTGAGTTGAAGAACTTATTCTCTAAACTAATTAAGAGCTATTTTGGAATCAGATTTACTGGGTCCAATAGGCATACTGATTAACAATAAACTCAAAACACTTACTTTTATGGCAGTTGGCACTTAATGTTACTCAGTGAGAACATGATATAAAAACATTTTTTTGAAATTTCTGTTTTTCACTACAAATCATATGTCTGAGATAACCATCAAGGGTAATATGTATTGAACTTATAAGAGACCACTGTGGTTATCACATGAATAACTAAAGTAAATAAAGTATTATAAATTTATTTACTACATTTGTAAGAACCAAAAAAACACACTTGAGCATTTAAAGTTTACCTGATTACACGTATTACTCTTATGAAAATGTAAATGGTTCTTACTTTAAAATGTCAGGCACATATTATACCTTTTGTAGTAACAGTGTAATTTCTGAAAGATATTTCCATCATTCTCCAGACTTTATAAAGGAAGGAAATCATGCATCTTATGTCCTCACTCTCCCTGTTTTCATTTTCAGGACTAAAGTTCAAATTCTGGCACACAGAATCCATGTCAGTGACTGAGACAAACAAAAGTGGAGCCATGTTTACCCTCTTGGGCTTCTCAGATTACCCAACACTGCAATTTCCACTCTTCCTGGTTTTCATGGCCATCTACAGCATGACTGTGGTAGGGAACATTGGGATGATTGTTACAATCAAAATTAACCCCAAACTGCACACCCCCATGTACTTGTTCCTCAGCCACCTTTCATTCGTGGATTTCTGCTACTCCTCCATCATTGCTCCCAGGATGCTGGTGAACCTAATTGCAAGTGACAGAAGCATTTCATTTTCAAGATGTATAGCACAATACTTTTTCTTTTGTACCTTTGTGGTAACTGAAGGCTTTTTATTAGCAGCAATGGCCTATGACCGCTTTGTGGCCATCTGTAACCCCCTCCTCTACACAGTTGCCATGTCACAGAAGCTCTGTGCCATGCTGGTGGTGGGGTCATATTCACTGGGTGTAGCTTGTTCCTTGACACTGACATGCTCTGCTGTGCAATTATCTTTTCATGGTTTCAACATCATCAATCACTTCTTCTGCGAGTTCTCCTCACTGCTCTCACTCTCTTGCTCTGATACTTATATTAGTCAGTTACTATTGCTCATTTTTGCCATATTTACCATAATTGGCACATTCCTTGTAGTCTTCTTGTCTTATTTGTTCATTGTGGTTACCGTCCTCAAGATGCGCTCAGCCAGTGGCCGACGCAAGGCTTTCTCTACCTGCGCCTCCCACCTGATGGCCATCAGCATCTTCTATGGCACCATCTTCTTCCTCTACTGTGTGCCCAGCTCCAAGAGCTCCAGCCATACAGTCAGAGTGGCCTCTGTGTTTTACACCATGGTAATCCCCATGTTGAACCCCCTCATCTACGGTCTGAGAAATAAGGATGTGAAAGACACTGTCTGCAAGTTTATGAACACGAAATTACTTTCTTATTAAGCAGGTATTTTAGTTGAGTTCGGCCCTCATGTAAAATTGTTTTTATAAAAGTTGACTTTAAGAATGCCATTTAAAATTAATAGAGTTAGTTTTGTATAGTGGAACAGAAGTAGACTTTGTTTTCAAGATACTAACCTGGGCTATTCTTTTCCTTCCTGTACACATTAATAATCCTTCTGATCTTTAATCTTTTTTCAACAAGTTTCATTTAACATATGGTAATGTAATTTATACTCTGTGAAGTTAACAGTTAACATACATATATGTGACACATCTTACAAAATTCAATAAATATTAATTCCCTAATTATTACGTAGAAGAGACCTGAAGTTGACTAGGTTCTTAAAAACTGAATTATCTGTTGTAAGTATAGGAGTGCAGCTCATAGAGAATTCTTGCCTTCTATGATAAAAATCCATTGTTGACAGTATTACATGGAAGGTACTGGCCACTGCATAAAGTAGAAAATAAGCAACCAAGAGAGTTTCAAAGAAGGGAAACTTCCAAACAATTAATGATTTTTTGAAGGATGCCTTTGTTAGGAAAAAAAAACCACTAATGAAACTTGGCTGCAGAAAAGTGAAAGGGCTGAAATATTCTAAATATATTTCAGTAAGGAAGGAATTTTTTACAACACAAATCAAGCAGATAATGATGTTATACTGAGATAATAATTCAATAAATATTTTAGTGTGCAAATGTGATATAACTTTGTATTTGTAGGTATATGTTTTGTAATGTACAGAGATTACTGAGCATGAATAAAAATGTGAATAATACATGATCTATTTCCTGAATGTTTTTTCTACAGGATCCACAATGTGGCAATATGATAAACTATGACAAAAATTGCAAGAGTCATAGGACTCATAGATTGTGCCTTAAAAAATATTACATGTAAAATGAGAGTTTTATATTTTGCATTCTGTGCTATTATTGTTTCCAAGAAGTAATCATAAACATTATCAATCTTTAATGAATTTTTTCTGAATTTTCAAATAATCTCTGAATTCTCAATAGACTTCTTATTTACCATAAAATAAAAATGTTTGGAATTTTCTTATTAATTGAAAAATAATGACTTCCATAAACTTTTTCAAAATAAATGCAAACCAGACACCAATTCTCACTTATAAACGATAAAAACTAACAGATTTTTACTTAGTAAGTGATTCCACTGAGATATTTTATACAGATTTGTCCTTATATTTAATCATTATATCTAGATAAAATTTCAAACAATCATCAATACAATGGAAAAAATAAATTTTCTTACATTTTGATATGAGTAGGTATAGTGACACAATTTTATAAGGGCTCAATAAGTTATTCATATGGTCATATTATTTTGAACTTATGATCATTATTACAAGTGCCACCACCTATTTATCTGTCATCTTAGCAATTCAAGTTCCACACATATCAATACTATGTATAATTTTATCATAATTCAGATAATCATTTAAAACCCCATTGAAGTTTGACTAAACCCTGGCATGCAGTCTTATATCCTTCTATAGTACATTGTTGTATACATCAGGTTATGGTAAGTTGTTGCTCAATTGATATTGAAAGAATATATATCTAAGTATTAATTTGGATAGAGAATATTGTATCATAGATTTAAATGGCAAAGAATCTAATTTTCATGAATAACTTAATTCATTTAAAATACATAATTGAAAAGACTTTCAATAATTAGCTTTCCAACTTTCTTTGTCTTGAATTTTTCTTGACTCCATTTCTCCAATAAAATATAATTCAATTAATTGCATTCAGGTGCTTGCTTCCACAGCACATATACTGAGATTGAAATATCAAATGTTTTTATGCTTGGTATCATAGATTAAATCAAAATCATAATTGCATCACTAGTTAAAATGTGATTAAAATGTAATTTGATAAAATATAACCAGTTAACATTTTAACATTTTTGGTAACATATCTTTTGTTGGAAAGTATTAGATGTATATTTTTATTATAATATTTATCTATCCATAGAACATCACTAATTCTAAAAGGCAATTGGTCCCCTATCAACTGTTTTAATCTTTTACTGGAAAGTATTAGTTGTATATTTTTA